AGTCCAGCGGTTATTATTAATGAACCTGCCAGACTTTGTCTGCTTTCTATCTATGAATTAATAGGAAGTTTTAAAGTCAAGGTTTTAGGCCTCGGTAGCCAGTTATGCTTTGACAGCTGCTTTTATCTTATTTGAATGCTTCCTCTTTTGCTGCAATGCAAATGTTGCACATTTTCTTAAAATGGTAAATAGCTGCTAACACAAACTGCTTCAGAAAAAAAAGTGATGCAGTTTTTACAGTGTTGCAGAACAGTGTTAAAATTCCACTGTAGCATCTTCTTACATTGCCTGGGGGTTGTCATTGTTGGGAGTGAAAAACAATTACACCTGCATATCTAACAAGAATGACACCCCCATTTAAAAGGGCGATTAGCACTTCATTTAGAAAAGACGAAAAGAAAGCAGCAAGGCAGAAATAGCATTTAATGTTTGCTCACTAGAAAGGATGTACCAAAAATGTTGCAAAAAGAAACCAAGAATTAAAACATGAAAAATAAAAAAAAGACTTGTGAAAGTCTGAGATCTAGAAGTGGAAATGCCCAGTGTGCATTTAACATTAAACATTTGGCATAACAGAGAATTAGTGTCAGTCTAATATATGTTAGCTACAGTATTTGAAAGACTTATCTGATTAACATCTTTCCGTCTGCTACAGGCCTTATAAAAATGTTCCATGCTCTGTTGCTATAAAGGCACAAACTGTGACATTTTGTAAAGAGATACCCAGACAGGACGCTGATAAATGTAATCTGGTTGCTTTTTTTAATTTAGTTTACCCATAGTGCAATGAGGGAGGCATGCATCTTTGGGCATTGAAAGGTGGTTGAGTAGCATTGAGTGGGTTTGTTGGGCAGAGTGGCAATATGAGCATAAGTCAGGAGTGTTGATACTAAAATTATCGTGCAGAAGTCTGATATCATACATACAAATATTGATGAAATACATCTCAATGGGCAGTTTGCATTACAACACCACTAGCAGATGACTACAGTAACTAAACTGACTATATTATAGCAGTCAGTGCGTGCAGTTTGTTTAGGTTTTGTATTAGTGGAAGTAAACTGAAAGGTGCAGTATCTTCAAAGCTGCTTGTGTACCCTTTACCCAGGTGGGTTTGCCTGTGCTGTGCTTGGCCAGGCCCACCCCTGCAATCGGCTTGGCTGAAAGCAGTACGGGAGACTTCCCTGTGGAGTGCGTGGGCTCACCAGCTAGCGTGTCAGCGAGGCTTAGCGTTCACAGCTTTTATGAGCATGTTTACTCAGTCCGGTTGCGCAAGAGGGGACAGTTGAAGAGAAATACCTGATAATGCTTAACCTGAGAGATTTGGAGTTGTTCGCTGGAAGTCACATTTCATTAATAGTGCCCATGATGTGCTGTTGCCGAACAGTTATTGCACCATTCTCTTGACATCAGTGCCTTCAAATTGGGAGAAGAGTCTCTTGTTAACTAAGTAACCAGAGAATAGCTGATTAGAAAGGGGAAGACTGTAGAGTTGTTAGGAAAGGAATTTTTCAATAACATGGCTATTTCTGTCAGTGGATGTTATTATCTTACACCTCTATGATAAAGTAGTTGCTTTTTCTTGGTGGTATAAAGTAGGCTCTACTATGAGAAGGTCTATCTATTCCTGTTTTCAGAGAGTTGATGCCTCTACCGGTTTTCTAGATTTCTTTGATTTAACGGCTCCCGAAGTGTTGAGAGAATGTGCTAAATTACTCCATTTAAGATGGAACGTAGCAGATTTAGCCCAAAGACCAGAGTGTGAATGAAAACCCACAGACACACTGAACCTCAAGGTCAGCAACACAGAGCCTGCACCAGATCATGGGTGAAATAGCTCAACAAGAGAGCACGTCCTGTTAACTTTTAGTGTTTTCAGTATGAAAAATCCATGTAGACATTTTTTACAATCACTAGGACATCCTGCCTGAGAAAAGAAACAGGAAGGAACAACTTGTCCTATGTAGATTCTTAGATGTTGATCTTCTATGCGTGTGGCAGCTGGAAAAAAAAAACAGAAGCCGCAGATCTTCACATTACAATATTTAAAATATACATTTAGTTAGAAACATGAATTTGTCCATTGTACAACTGCGTCTCCAGTAGCAGAGGTCCAGCAGGAATGTCTCCTCAGACCTTGTAATTCCCTTAACAGTGTGTTTGATTATTTAAACTCCTACACAAAGGATCACAAAGTTCAGCTTCAGCTTTACTCTTGAGCTTCTAAAAAATGTGCTTATAAAAGAGGAAGAAAACAGGTTTTTCAATCAGGGTTGAAATTTCAGCTACGTGAAACCCCTTTGCTGGTTGCCTGCGGAAGTTGCTGTCACAAAGAGTGAGCAGGCACTCTGCATTTATTACACTCCAGCTGTAACCTTGTCACCAAGCCTCTTAATGCTTTTGATGATAATGTGGTTCTGGTGATACGTGGCAGAAAAAAAAAGACACCGGTCCCCTGAATTTCTTACTTAGTTCCTTTTATTGTCCCAGATGGGAAATCTTCTATGCTGGCAGGTACAAGACGTAACAATACGAATTAAATTGAACATGAGCCCATTATCAAATAAGAGACATACAGTACATGTATGATGAGAAAGAAAAAAAAGTATTAATAAAGAAAAATATACAATCAGTTGTCCACATTAATATTGCACTTGAATATACAGTAGGTGGTCTTAATCGATTTCTGGTTGGATCAGTGAGTATTGTATATTGGCCTTCTGCACAGTTTGATTGCCCTGTTGTTGCTTATTGTTAATATGGATTCATGTAAAAGTGTCTTGATAAGTTTAGATGCTCACTGTTTCCCAAGTGGTACTTCATACTGTCGCACTCTTGGGTCCTGATTTTGAGTGTTTGATCAGGATGATTGTGTGCCCTGCTTGCATCATGCTGTGAGTCACCCCACACTCAATAAGAGACCATTTCCTCAGCAGAATCGATAGTGGCAAAATCTGGGAGTTCTCTGTAACAGTGTGGTTGGCCCTTGACCTACTTTCCTCTTCACTATAAACCAGCGAAGCTTTTGATCTTTCTGTGGCTTGCATGCTTAAGAAGGAGTAGTGCGTTGCAGAAGAAATGCCTCTTCGCCAGGCAAGCTGTAATTTCCTTCTGAGATACAGTGTCCTTGGGCTTCAGAGGCACCTCAGGCAAATGCAAGAAAGCAAGAGGGTAGCAAAAAAAGGAGCTCAGTATTAGTCTGTGTCTAGTCTCACATGCTTATTTTTACATTCTGCTCATTGTAATTCCTCTTTAACCCTTTTATGGACATTGACTAAAATGGAAAAATTTACTTTACCACCCATCACAGGTTGCAATGCCAGTACTTGTGGGCAGGCTTTTTTTACCCATCAGGCAAAAAAAAAAACATTTTTCACCGGGAGAGGTTTCAGAGTTTTAATATTGCTCAGGCCACCGTCAGAAAGAAGTTGTACGAAATGTTTTAAAAGTTTTAATGTTTAAAGAATGGAAAATGCCTGTCAAAAAGACCACAGATTACAAGTGCCCCTGATCTCTCACAGAGCCATACTGTAATAACTTCACCGAAACTGTATGTAAAAAACTTCATTCCCATCTAACCTTCTGTAGCGGGAACCCAGTATTAAATGAAGAATCCGCTCTTGCACTTAAGAGGTTAAAGGATCAGAGGCAGAGTGAGAGCGAGCTCTGGAAGAACTAGCTTCTGGGCATACGCATGGTAAAAATATTTGGGCAGCAATAGGATGTGTGCAGCTCTGTGCACCCCCAGGCAAAGTCAGTTAAGGAGCAGAGCACTCTTCTTTGGGCTGCCTGTGTGTTAACTTGTAAAATCCAGTATTAACATTTTTAAACCTGCTGCTATCCAGCTGTGTGCAGAGTTAGAATGAGACACCCAGCAAGGTCCTGTGCCACACATCCCCTGTCGTCCCCTATGTAAAATTCAGGCCTACTCCCAGCGCCAGAAAAGTGTCCTAACGTCTGCAAGATTGCTTGGTGACGATACATCTCCCTGCCCACCCACCCCTGCCTTCTTTGTCTTTCAGGCTACACACTCAGTACACACTCGGCTGGTTTGTTTTCATTTGCCTTCCAGCTTGGCAGAGGGCTGTCCAGAAAAAATGCACGCTCTCTCTTCCTCTTTCTGCTGCTTTATTGCTCAAGTCTCAGAATTCACTCAAGCGTTTGCAGACATACGAGATAATTAAACATTTCATGAGCCAATTTAACAACTTTGCTGTCTTTTTTTTCTTTCTTTTTTTTTGTTTTAAAAAAAGCCTTGCTGTACTTTTATGATATGTGTCCCTGCAGGTATGAATCATAGTGGGGGGTGGGCTGAGAAACATGAAGCTCCTGTTGTAAGTGCTATCCAAGACTTCCCAAGAGAGTCATTAAAATACACAGTGCCACTCTGTGTAGTGGTGTCTCTCTCTCATACACACACACACAGTGCTGACATGTGGGTGTTGTGGTGATTAAATAACATTCTTTCAGTGCAATATCCTTCTTTCAGAGCCAGGTGCCAGTAATGGCTTTTGAACTCTGGCATGATCCTAGAGAAGTGCTGCCTTAACACCTAGACTTTGCACACATAACACCACACTTTCACACCCATTGTTTCTTCCACAACAACCTGGGAAAGAAACACCACCTGATATTTGAACCTCACATCTTCCACTTCAAAAAGTCTAGAGCTCTAACCACTTATCCGCACAGCTACTGTACCTCAATGTCCATAGGGTTAACAAAAACCTGTTGCATTTTGTGCAGAGGTTATCACATGTTCTGATTATGTGTTGGACTTGCAGCTCTTGCATGATTTAAAATGTAAAAAAAACAAATCTCTTAATTTGATGAACTGTAAAAAAAAAAAGTAAAAAAAAACAGTTCTGTGGCGACAGAGTTTTAAAATATTCTGGCACACCAGAGGTTAAAGATCTCCGAAGGTTTAGCCACTCCCTGAGTGGGCCACATTTTTTTTTATTTGTATCTCCACCTCCTTCAGCCTCTCTCGGTGGCTTTGTGTGTGTGTGAGTAGCACGCTTGCATGCTGGAGCGAGAGACAGGCAGCAGGGACTAGAAAGTGAGAGAGAGAGGTGTCTCTGAGTTTTTATTTGCGCCAGCACAGAAGTGCTTTGTGGCTGGCCATCTGGACTGGGGAAGGATATCCTTAGAATTCAAAGTATGCCGGCGGCTCAGAGCAGCCAGACTGTGCTGTGAGATAATACCAGATCGTAGTGAGAGAAAGCAAACGCACCAGGCTCCGCTTTTCACTGGACCGACAGTAGCAGCAGCACCAGCGGCAGGAGCACTGTGGGCACGAGAATGGAAGAAAGCCTGTCCAGCTTGACTTCGGCATGCAACTCCTCAGCTCTGCTCAGCAACCACTGCGCTGGTAATTCGCTGCTCTCCATTTCCACTTGGGGCTTTGGGCTGGGGGAATGGTGTGAGGGATGGTACAGTAGGTGGTCTTGTGATTTGGTTGGGATTCTGCCCGGATGTCCGTGTCCACAGCTATACCTGCCATTCCTTTCCCCCTTGGCAGCTGTATACTATAGATCATGAACCAGTCAGGTTGAGCATGTTGTGTCTGTAGATCTGTGAATCGGTGCTGTGGGGTTTAAAGTGGTTCTCCTTCAGAACTGTGCAGATCACTCCCCCCACTGACCCATGTCTGTGAGTGCGAAGTGTTCGTACTGGTCTGCACGTGTGCACGAGAGCGATCTTGTGGGTGCCTGGGGTTTGCAGTGCTCAGAAGCAGCTGGGGGGAAACCCAGGCTTATCTCTTGGCCGGAAAACTCAGAGTTGGGGTCTGATCACTGCTGGCTCTGTCGTTCTGCCTGCCTGTGTGCTGTGGTTGTGTCATGTGGGAATAACGCCATGGTGTGGCGATGCGATCTGGTTTCACCAACCTCAGTAGTAAGCCGCAGAGTGTCTTGGTGACAACTTTGTTAAAATCGGTGAGCAGACGGAGAATCCTTCTCACACGAACACAAGAAAAGTCCCTGCGAGTGACCTGCCCAGTGCACGAGGGTACACCAACATGATAAAACAACACAGCATTTCAGCATTATATATTGCATACATAAAATACATGTGTTCTTTTACATACGGCATAATTTTGGTGTGTATCCTTTATAAGTTAGCTAGCTGTAAAAACATTAAAGCTTTATGAAATTTTCTTTAAACCATATATGGGATACCAGTGATTAGTGTTCTGGTCTCGTAGCTCTAAATAAGCGGGTTGAAATTCCAGGTGGACAATACTGTTGTAAGCCTTGAGAAAGGTTTTTCACCTGCTCCAGTAAAATACCCATTTATAAATGGGTGCAGATATAGGTTGTCTTGGATAAGTTAAATCCCCAAACCAAAGTATTCAGTAATCAGTTATTACTTTTGTAACATATCCAGAATATGTTTTTGAAACTTTCCTGAAAGTTTCTGCTAGCGGAGAACATGTTTTAAATAGTAAAATGCAATGGAAATGAATAGTTGTTGGATTTGTTTTTGCTCATCTCTTGAGGAAGAAGAAAGTTTGGTCTTCATGTGTAAAGTAAAAGCAAACCATGCAGGAAATGCACACAGCGGCTGACCATGCGACATGTAACCATTCCCCAGGATAAGATGCCATCTAATTGAAGAAAACACTTATTTTCTGACTGAATTATTTGACATGACATTTCATATGCTTGTTTTTTATATAGTGTAGAGATGACATTTCCATGCTGGTTGGGTTTTATATGATCTCTTTTAATTTGGCCAACTTATTCTTTTTACTTCCTTACTTGTGGCACAATCTGTAGCTTGATAGTGTCTGCTTGTGGTAGACCTGGTAAATGTATAACTTTATACTGTATACCGAATATATTGTACCACTCCCCCATAAACAAGACAGAATCCTCTTTAAAATATTGTAACTGCACTGCTTAATTACTTCAAACAAGAATCAGAACAGTACAACGTGTGTTACACATTAGAATGCTGTCTGAGAAAACTACCCACGTATCTTTTTCTTTAATGTAAAACAGTTCCCGTCTGCTGTACAGTAAAGTACGGTACGGATGCAAAGGTGTTTTGTAACAAAGCCTGCTCAGAACAAACTGAAAAACTGGTGTATGACCACAGCCCTTGGAATCCACCATAAGCGGTATGGAGTGTTATTTAGGTTCATGAGCACTGGGTATTTTGGCTGATCATCTGTAATGCAGTGCTTTGGGAGCTCCAGTCTGGCACTCTTAAGCATTCTTATTTACTTGGGTGAAATCCCCCCGGCCTTAGGACAAGGTGCATGTCCTCTCTAAGGCCTTGACGGTTTCCATCTGGGTTTCCTCCCAGGCGAGCTCCCAGAGTCTGCATGCCATCAGGGACATCAGACTAATGAGATGGTGACAGCGTGGAGAATCCCAGGACTAGAAGAGTGAAACCACGTCTAATGTGGGTCGTGCTGGACACAATAACAGCCTGTTCCAGCGCAATCCCTCTCGATTAAGGGTTTACTAGAAGTCAGAGTGGAATGTCTCATGAAAAAAAGTCCAGAGCAGACTTCTGTTCAGCTGCCTAACATGTTGTGAGACTGTACTGAAAAAAAAAAAAATTAGAATGGGGAAACTGCCCAGTTCAAGAAGCATGTGAATCTACATAAGGTTATGCGCTTTCATTTGCAGCCAAACAATGTGGGCTATCCCCTTGAGCACATTCTTTCTCTCAAAATGAGGAACAATGTTGAGGTCCTTATTTTTCCTAGTGGAACTAAAAGTTGAATAAGCTGTTTCATGTTGCTGATTAAACATCAGTGTGTTCAAACTATGGAGGACAGAAAATGTAATTTGCATATTGGCCAGACTGGGAACCCTTATATCATGTAGTATGCTTTTCTTTCATTAAGATAGAAAAGCAAATGTACGTGCTTTTCTCCTCATTTATTCTGATTTACTTTAGAACTCTTTCTTTTAAAAGAAAAGTCAGTTGATTTCTACCACATAATGCTAACACTTACTTTATTTTTCTCCCCTCTGGCCTTACAAGTTTTACTTTTATCTTTTTTTTTAAGCAATAATTTTTCTTTTATGGAAGAAAATGAGTCCCTTTGGCGTTTTCTAAAAGTGGATGCCATATATTTAAATCATTTCACTTGTGGTGCTTAAGTCTGGGCAAATGCAATGCAAACTTTTCTTCACTTTTTATATCTCGCAGTATAATCAGCAGTAGGTAAAATCCCCAAACTATATTTGAATTAAAAAACTTCACATGTGACCTGCGTTTCCCTCCTGTAAGTTTGATCTGAAGCAAAGTTTTGTGGATGAATGTTAAGTGCTGTGGATGTTCACGGAGAGCTGCCCCGTGCATAGGAGAACTCAAAGTCAGTTGTCAGTGTGCCAGACCGGGTTTGTGATGCCCAAATTACTGCTGTGTTTAATTCTGCACTGACCCAAGTCAGAGGTAAACAGCTTCAGCTGAAGCCTAACTCAATTAATACCACGTCATCTATCATTATATCCCCAGATCTGTCAGACAGTGTGTATAGCTTGCTTTACAAATACTTGGCTTGGCAGAACAGATTAATGGCTTTAAACAAACATGTTGCTACAAGCATAAAACAATTTAAACTTCTCTTCGCAAGAAGGGAGGAATCCGAGTGTTGTAGCAGGGCTATTTACAAAGGGTTCCTCGGGCTGTCTGCTCTTCCATAGGAATACAGACAATCTGGGAGACTGTCAACGAAGTGCATTCTCTAGAGAACAATGCTTCTGGATATGGGTTGGCTTCATAGCTTGTGCACGTTGCTGAACTTCTCAGAGTATGTGCTAGGCTGGGCGTGGCAGAGAGAAACTGTAAGTAAAGATTTGGTGGTTATGAAGATTGGCAGGACAAGACAAAGGAATAGTTTGTCTCCCCTGCCATGTCTTCTCAGTGGTAGAGAGAATGTCAGCTGATGTGACCTTAAACCCCTATTTTTAGGCACTCTTGAGATTTTCTAGCAAGGATCATCAAAGCCTAGTAAGATGCACTTCCCCTGTTGTGTTTACTGTCCAGTGGCTGGTTTAGAACCAAGATACTCACAAAGTCTTTAATGTTCAGCTGTCTGGACATGATTCTTGAGTACTTGGATTTTGTCCTTTTTTCTGTCTTAAAGTGAGGTGAAGGCATATAAATGCACTTTGCACTCATAGCCTTGCCCTCTCAGGCACTGATGATTAAGAGTCAATTCACTATAACACACGTTCATCAGCCTCTCTGCGCACAGACGGCTCAGGTTAGCCTCACAGTTGAGTCAGCAGAGGGTTAGCCTCTGACGAACATGAAAGGAGTGATTGGAGTGTGTGTGAGGCTGAGTAAAAGTATCTTAATTGCTTACAGACATAAACGCACACATCGAATCCTGTACGACTCTGTAGACAGCACTCTTTATTAAGTCTGGGAGATGTTCTTGTGCCGTTTTGCCCTAGATGCCTACCGTATCTAGTACAGTAACATTCATTATTGAAAACAGAATATTTATATTTAGTTGGCCTTTACTATTTAATGCATTGGAATAGTGAGAGTTCTCTGAGAGTTTTCAGTTTATGCCTTGTAAAATACAGAGTAACCCTGGAGTCTGTGCATATACTGTATATTATGTTCATGCATGTTAATGCAAAGCACTCTGGGCTGCTTGGTGACTGACAGATTAAAAGCAGCAGAAATAGGATCATGATTATAGGGAGCAGAGACAAGGGGATGCATTCCACATAGAGACCTGTCATTGTGTGTGAAGAAAGACAGTGATGAAAGCTCTTGTCAAAGCTTTTCTCTGCTCCATTCAGTGTTAGAGACCTGAAAATATCAGTATGAAGTGGAAGATGCTGATAATGTAATTGAAAATCTTGATTTAGGGTGTTGTATGCACCGAATTTTGTAATGGTATGATGTATACACTGTGTGTACTGAATTTATTTTATTTTATTTGAGATCTGATTTAATTGGTACTCTTTCAGTTCTGGCTTTTTTATTTTAGCTTGGGTAGACTCTTAAGCCATTTCCAAAGAAATAGGTATAATCACAAAGCAAACATACCTGGGAGTTTCTCTCTGAGCAACTGTCTGTTTGCTGAGTGAACTCAGCTCATGCTCTTTGAAATATGATGTATAATCTCTTACAAATCTGATTAAGCACCAATGGTCAAAGTTATTTTTTTTATGTGGCAGTGAAATAAGAAATGAATATGTAATATTAATATACTAATAATAATACAATATATTATAATAATAAACATATTCCTATATTTTATTAATTCTACATGAAGATCATACATCTCAACAGAGCACAGAACTCAAAACAACAATGATTTGTACAACGGTTCCTTTCTGTATAGAAAACAATGGCAGCAAGAAATTAGCACAGTTAATAATTATTTAT